GAAAATCCCCGCTGGGATAGGTGGCTCTGCCTGTACGAGCATCCGCTGTTGTAGCAAGGCTGTGGGTCAAGGCCAGGCAGCGCCCAGGGCCGTTGTGCTTATGGCCTCTGCCAAGCCCTGCTAAAACTGACAAGCTCAGCCTCGCATCATCCCCAGTGAACAAAAGCCACCGGGAACTGATCTAACCTCCTTGTTCATGCTGCGGCCTGCACTCCAAAAAGTGGTGAACATGGGTGCGGTCACGTAACCTGTGTGTATTTCATCAGGCCTGCCCTAGCTTTTTGGTCTTTGACCCAGTTACGATGTGCATCGTCAGGGCTGGGCTGCCCAGGAACTGGTGCACACTTACTGGTGGATGTCTGCAGCCAGAGGCCTGTGGGGAAGCGTGTGCTTTGAAGGAATATATTTCCTTAGCAAGACGCAGGTGCTAGGCCAGGTATCCAGCCTCCTGGAGCTTAGCAGTAGAGGCTGGTACTGAACTGGGAAGTATTTTATTTTCAATCTCACTCTCTTTTTTTCCATAGTATTTTCTGCATTGAAGCAGTCCTCGGGCAAAAATTGTGTCCTAAGGCGATGGAAAACTACGTGGCATCGATGGTGCTGAGCGCAGTTGGTGACACGCTGGGCTATTACAACGGGAAATGGGAATTCCTACAGAGTGGCCTGGCCATCCACAAGGAGCTGGCGGAGATGGGGGGACTTGGCAACCTCAGCATCCAAGGTTGGAAAGTCAGCGATGATACGGTGATGCACTTGGCCACGGCTGAAGCCCTGGTAGCTGCCGGGAAAACCCCAAATTTAGAGCACCTCTATTCCCTGATTGCAAAGAACTACAAGGAGTGCATGAATTACATGAAATGCAGAGCTCCAGGTAACCTTTCTATAATGCTGTCTGGGCAGGGCTGTCCTCTGGCTAACACCCCTCCCTTTCCTGCTGCTTGGAGGCTGACCCTCGATTTCCTTGTGGCTGTTTATAGCGTTAATTGTATTTCATATAAAGGCAAAAGTTTTCCACACTCAGTACCTGTTTCAGGATGAACTAAGGAGAATAGAGTAAGGCAAGCTGAAGTGGTTTGGGCTTCTCTGAACTAGATGAAAAAATGATTGTTTTGCCCACATTTACAAAACATTCTTACAGGCGTGTTTGAGGCCTGGCCTTGAACTCAGGAGAAGGATGATGGATTTTGCACTGGGGATGTGTCTTTTCCTGCACTCGAGGGGTGAAAAATGCAAATTAAACCATGTATAATGCACGCCCTGAGATGCTGTGTTAAAGCAACACATTGAAACAGAGAATTAATATAGAACTTCTCATAATTGCCATCCGTTACACATAAAATATATTTCAAGGCACGAAGATCGTTGCTTGGAATAATTAAGTTTATTAAACACAAAATCTACTTTCAGCTAGCTCCACATGTCTACTTCTCTGTGCCACGTTCTGAACCCTGTACTTCCTTATCTCTCTTTTCTCTGCATAGACACAATGGTCATTATCTCGAACCCTTTGAGCCCCACATTGGGCGCCAAAAAGGCCTGTCGTGTTTTTACCCCGGCCGGCAGCTGAGCACCACGCAGCCGCTCGTTCACTCCCCCCCATCAGGATGGGAGAGAGAACTGGAAAAGTTAAAGTGAGAACACTTGTGGGTTGAGATAAAGACAGTTTAATAGGTAAAGCAAAAGCCGCGCACAAGCAAAGCAAAGCAAGGAATTCATTCCCCACTTCCCATGGGCAGGCAGGGGTTCAGCCATCTCCAGGAAAGCAGGGCTCCATCATGTGTGTAACAGTTACTTGGGAAGACAAACGCCATCACTCCGAACGCAGTTCCCCCCCCGCCCCTTCCCCCAAGCTCCTTATAAACTCAGCATGACGTCATATGGTATGGAATATCCCTTTGCTCAGTTGGGGTCACCTGTCCTGTCTGTGTCTCCTCCCAACTTCTTGTCCACCCCCAGCCATCCCGCTGGCAGGGCGGTGCGAGAAGCAGAAAAGGCCTTGGCCCCGCATAAACACTGCTCAACAATAGGTCCACAGAACAAAAACATCTCTAAATTATCAATGCTGTCTCCAACACAAATCCAAAACATATCCTCACACTAGCTACTATGAAGAAAATCAATCCTCTCAGCTGAAACCAGGACAGGTGCCGACTTTGGGTCACAGGCAGCGGGGTCCAGCAGTGCATGGCAGTATTTGGGAAGCGTGCCTTGATGGGCTGCACTAGCCAAGCTGTATGCAACATATTCCTGTAGTTCCTAGTAAACCCAGGCCTGCTGACCCAACTCTTCCCGAAAGACCCCTTCTGTCTCTGCGCTCATGGCCCAGCCTCTTCTGGATGCTAGAATTCAACTTAGATCAGAGCTACTGAGGCTGGGCCTCTAATTTGACTGGTGCAGGCAGTGTGAAGTACCCAGGAAACACTCAAATTCAGCAATCCTATGCAAAGTTTATACATCAAAAATAAATTATTTAGATATGCTTATTTGGAGAGGCCAGAATATATCAAGAATGTTCTGGCTTGACTTTAAACATGGGAAAGGCCAAATCCTGCATTGTTGTCTTAGGGCCACTGAGCACAGTGTGACAACTGTGCATTTCCAAGGTAAACCAGGTTGGAAACTCAAGCAGGAATTTATTCTGCTTACCTTTCCACAGTGACCTCCTACCCTTGTGTAAAAAACTAAACTGTCAGTATTCTTTAACACAGATAGTGTCAGTTGTTGGAGTAGCCTAATTAATAAACTATTTAGGAAGGGGTAACAATGCTTGCCAGGATAGCAGGAGTTGGCAGGTTAAACTTCTGAGAGAATATCTGCTGTTTTGGCAAAGGAGCATCTTTTACTTCTCCCAGCTGATGGAGTCTGCCAAGGTGGACTAACCACAGCTGGCAGTGAGACAGCACCTGGAACCTGTTTTTGCTTCAGAAATCTAAGCTTGGTGACTGAAACTGAGATGAAAAGGAGCAGAACCTAAAATTTAAATGTTAGTAATTAATAGCTAAGGATAATAGCACACCTGCTGCAGTCCTTCCGTGAGTAACTGAGATGCAATATGCCCAAAAGCAGTTCCCATTTGGAAGCGAAGGATTTTAAAGTAAATTTGCTAAGGACACTAATCAGAGTGACAAGGAAAGGTCAGGTTGTCTAGCTAAACAAAGAAATGCAACTTCCTTAGTGGGTCCATAGACACTCAACCTTCTAAAATTTTGGGGGAAGCGGGGAAACTAACGTGGAGAAAAATGGAAGTCTGTTGGGAAAGTTCTTGCAACAGTGTTCTGTAGTGCTCCTGCTGCAGCCACAGGAAAGATCTCTGAGAGCTTAAATCCTGACACTTAACAGTTAAATGTCCACTGATGTGCTACCGAAGGGAATACCTAATCCATATCCTGAAAAGCTGTCTGCAGTCTGGAGTCTCCATGCCATATTGATAAATCCTAATGATAGAAGTTGCATGTCAATAACTTCTTTTAGCAGTTCAGAGTAAATGGATTTTAACTCAGAACATAACCCAAGGTGGTGCTGTTCTGGCCAAAGCAAGCACTCACCAGGGAATTGCAGCCCTTAAGGCTGAGAATGGAAAGTTGCTGCTGCAACTTTCATGCAGCAAAGAGATTCCCCCAGAACAGTGGGGGAAAGTCACATTGCTCACCCACGCAAGGGAGTCCAGACCTGAAAACCAAAACCCGCAGTAACAAAGGGATTCCCACAACGTTTTGAGTCACCAGACAGCGACGGCAGGGTCCCTGAAGCATTCAGCCCCAGGAGAGAACTCACTGTCTTAATTCAATGGCAAATTAGTCCCTACATCCATTATTGCTATTCGTGATGTGCTGCAGCCCCAAATTCATTGTTCATTGCAGATGATGAAGCCAATGAATTAAGTAACACAAGCATGGCAATATTTCTTTTTTCATGGTACAACTACATCTGCCTGCGCAGCTCTCCAGGAAACCTTCTGTTTCAAAACTCTGTCTTTCAGTCCAAGTTCTCTCCCTGTGGAATTATTTACCACTGTGGTGGTGTTTTAGCTGACCTTTTATATATGTATTGACGGATCCCAAACAACTGTTACTGTCTGTGTTCATGAAGAGTCTAAGTAAGCGGAATGGAAGGCTATTCCAGAAGTAGCACCCAGTTGTACTTGAAACTTTCTCAGGTTGTCTTTCTTCTCACACTGCTTTTTGCTTATATGTCTTCTTTCCTTAGACCATTACCCTCCTCGGGTTACTTTTAGTTTCTTATTGTAAGTACAAAGGATCCCTAACCAGGATTTGGTGGATTTCCAGAACAGAATTTCCTGATTCAAAAACTCCTACAGCAGTTATTTTTTTTAAACCCATTTTTAAAAAAAGACCTGGCAATGTGATTTCAGCTTAGTCTTCCTAAATCGGCTTTCAAATGTTTTAATATTTTAACTGTTTAAAAGCATGAGGATAACACTTGTAATACTTCATCAATCACAAGAGTTTTAGCTGTTCTATACTAGTTTGTTTTACATGGTTTTTCTTCATTTCCAGGTTATCACTAGTCATCTCCTATGGTAATAAGCACAGGTTTAAAGCTGCAATTAAATTGTTATTGCAAAATAACCAATCTTTCCTTACAGTTTAAGACTTGTTGTCTTCCTCATTTACTTTTGACTACAGTTAATACAAGAACAATCTCACTTTTTATCAAGGACTGAGTTGCCTGCTCTCAACCTGCTCAAACATGTCCTGAAGAAATGTCTTTCTCACAGTTCCAGCAAGATTACAGAGTTCGTTTTGCTTTTGTTATGCAGATTTTCATTTTAAGCTACCCTAGTCCCTTTGCTCTCTCCCTTTCCCCTTGTCTTCCTGGCAGAAGGTCTCTTTTACCAGGAACATACGAGTAGTGTAGTCAGCACAGTTTTTGAAAAACATGGCTTTGTTCGACAGGTTCTTTTTAATGTCCTATTATAGGTCAGAAGTGCAATGCTTAGTGTAGTTAGATTTTTGAAAAAATGCATTAATTTTCTGTTAGTCATCATAAAGCTGGAAATTATATACTCTTAATGATTTTGATTCTGTGATTCTATGATACACAGCAGCCAGCACTGAATTAATAAACTACATGAAAAGCAGATTTAAAGGCCTGCACACATTCCCACTTTGAGACACCACAAAAACAGTCTCCCTGGCAGCTCAGTTGGAGGTTGGTGGCGATCACTCCTGGCAGAGCCCCGTGCTACCCACACCAAACGCTCTGCCTGCTGCTTCTTCCTGCAGAGAAACACAGCCCCACAATTTTCACTCTGTAAATCACTGGGAAGAAGGATGAGTAAGGAACGTCTGGACTGATCCAGGGGTTGCCTGACCGTGTGGCACCGCAAAACCACTAGGTCTCATCTACTGGGAAGGGTGTGATGGTGGGGTCATGCAAGAGGCTGGTGTGTCGGTACAGCAGGCATGGATGAGACCGGTGAAATAGTAGGTCTGCTTTGTGCCTGGGTCATGCTGTGGGGAATTCACAAAAGCCAAAGTGGCTTGATGTTGTGGGCTGTGCTGATCAGCAACCCATTTTTTTTTCCTGTGGGGGAGACTTGCATAGGCTGTTTCCATTCTCAAAGTTGATTTCAGCTGACAGGCTTGCGGGGCAAATAGCCTGACAGCCACAGGACCGAGCTGCTTTTTTAGTTTGAGACAACCATTCATGGGGAGCTGGTCCACCCTTTCATACTATACAGAGGGCTGTATCCTGCCCTGATCTAATAAGCCTATAATGTAACAACACTGTCAGAAAAGAAATACGCTAAAGACACTTAGACCAGAACTATGAAAAGGATCCACGTGACCTTATTCCTGACAGCAGCCGGCCGTTATTTATTTTTAGCATGCGTCCAGAAGCCAATCTTAAAGCTGTGCTTGGATGTGGAGGTGTTTTGGTTGCAAGGGTGCTGTCAATGCTGTGTGCGAGTAAAACAGACTGCCGTGTACCAAATCCTACTGCCAGTTGTATACGTGAAAGTGCAGAAGTGAGCAGCTCTGCAGAGTACTTAGTGCAGTACCTAGCTGTGATTAGCAAGCTCCCAGATCATAGTGATCAAATTGCACCAAAGGTAATCGAACTGTAGAGTTAAGTGAAGTTTCTAGACCAGGCTTCTTCCTTGCTACTCTGTTCTACTTAGTTTGACTTTTAAAGAAACAAAGCACCTGCAAGTTCATCAGCTACCTGTCCCGGTTAGGCAGCAACGTATAGGAGCAACGGTCTAATTCTGGGTGCATGAGCATGTCAGCTACTGCTGTTACCCCGTTTGTCTGAGAGAGGACTAGGCATGCTGTGGTTGGAAGACTAGTCTTTTGAGTCCACTTTTGCTGTTGTCCAACACATTAAAACTTAAATGAAGCTGCTTGAATCTTGCCCTTGATTTACTTTTCTGCTGGAAAGGAAGTATTTAAGATTTGGCCAGAAAGGAAGACTAGGAGAAAAAGGCACGTTAGAAGAGAATCAAAGATAATTTCATGTTTCAAACCTACGTCTTCTTCCTTGCATGCAAGTATTTGGGCTTAGCTCTCAAAACTTTGTTTCATGGTCTTGGCTGGGGAAGCTGGCTGGGCTCTGAAATTTGGGTGTGTTTGTGCAGATGGCTTTATCCTATGAATGTGCTGGTCTAACTAATGAGTTTCTGAAGAAGCAGCACTGGAAGGAGCAGAGTAATTTCTTTAAAAAGTAAATAGCAGAACTATGAAAGAGATGGAAGTGGGCAATGAAGAGTTATGGGGTGGCTTCCCACCAGAAGAGAGGCAAAATTGGACTAGGGTGTCAGCTCGGAGCAGGAGAAAACTGAGGAAGAGGGACAAAGTATATAGAGTCTTGAATAGTGCAGAGCATGAAAAGTCGTTATTTCTTGTAATGTAAGAATTAGAGGGGAATTTAAGGAAATTGGCAAATAGCAGTTTAAAACAAGAGGAAATGCATTGCATAACAAAATCATGGCTTTGGTTGCCGTGGGGTGTTAAAGGAGTCTGAAGGCACGCATGGGTTGCAGCTAAGGAGACCAGTTCCTGGTGGCTAGGTCCACTGAGGGTTATTAGACACAGCATTATGGATCCATCTTCTGACTCAAGCAGGCTGTGCCCCTCTGTCTGCTGGACGCCAGGCAGATCTTCTTGGGGAAACATTGTACTTGCCTCATTTTTTATAGTCTTTCCATAGTTATGTTAGTGGCTGTGTTTGGAGACAAGCTAGTGGGTTGGACAAACCTTTGGTCTGACCTCATACAGTTGTTCTTCAGCTTATTGAAGAGGAGTACAGTAAAGCCAGTTATGCAGACCATGTTGTGGTTAGGGAGATACAACATTTATCGCTTTCTGACAAACTTAAACTGCAGCAAGGGAGGTCTGGAAAACATTTTGTATCAGCGAAGCAATGGGAAAGAGCGTGTGGGGTCACTGTCTTTAAAGGGTCCTGTAGAGAGGCTAAACAACTGTCAGGAAAAAATGCAGAGGTACTTCGGCATGCCTTGGATCAGGGATTGACATGATATGATGGCCCTCCAAACCTCCTTTATATTTATATAGGTCTATCTAGATATATGTGTACATCTTATACCTAATATATATAGTATATATGTTTAATAGATAAGTTATTAAATAACATGAAATGTAAATATAAACAATGTAAACTACATAAATCAGCAGTGGAATGTTTTTTACTCCCCTAGACTTTTTAATTATTTTCACAAACAGGAATTGTCAGGTCTGCTTGGGAATACGAAGGGTGCACGGGCAATTTAAGGCAAGAAATGTATGTGAGCAGACAACTGATGTTCTTACAGAGAGGCCTTAATCCCTTACAGAGAGTAATGCTTCCTTCCCTGCTGCCTTGCCTGTCTTCCCTCAGTTCTTGAGCTACGTGACCCTGTTGCCCATTGATGCGCATTTCTGTTTCTTTGTTTTCTCACCTTTCTTCCTCTGTCGGGCTGTGCTGCTCCTGTCCAGGTGCCACGTGTATGGAAAATGCGCTGAAGCTGGATCCGGGGCGGCCGGACAGCTGGAGGGCCCCGTTCAGCCCCAGGGGGGGAGGCTGCGGGGCTGCCATGCGCTCTATGTGCATCGGGCTGCGTTTCCGCCTCCCCACTGAGCTGGACACCCTGGTGCAAGTCAGCATCGAGAGTGGCCGAATGACCCACCACCATCCCACTGGCTACCTGGGGTCCCTGGCTTCAGCCCTCTTCACGGCTTTTGCAGTGAATGGTGTCCCCCCCCCAGCCTGGGGGAAGAAGCTGCTGGATGTGCTGCCACAGGCAAAAGCCTACGTGCGGGACACCGGCTTCTTCGTGGAGGAGAACATGGAGCAATGGTGAGCTGCACTCCTGGCACTGAGTTTTGTTAAAATAAACCTCACGTATGAGAGTGCGAGCTCTGTTTATACTTCAGCTTCAGTAATCACATTATGGTAAACTCCTAGGGCAGCACATGCCTGCTGTGGGATTGAATCGATTCAGAAAGTCTCTGAAGTCCCCCAGGGGAAAAATACCTCTAACTTTTTTTAAAAAAAAAAGGTCATATTGTGTTTGGGTCATGTAATTGTGACATTTTTTGGATCCCGTATGAGATAGCTAGACTTGTCATCTCAAGCATCCGTGATCTGATGAAAGATGGGAAGCAAGGGTGGGGAACAGCACCAGGCTGAGGGCTGAGCTCAGTTTGAAAGTTATAACCAAATCTGGCTGCAGATTCAGTGCGGGTCTGTGTGCAGGGGCACTCACACACAGGGGCAGAGGTACTCTGAATTTGGGAGGATGACTCAGTTCTTGCTCTGAGCCTTTGAATCCTGTGCAGCATGACAGCAGCAGGTGCTGGGCTGCCTTCTCCCATGTGGCTGGAGGAAGGGGAAATCTAACTCACTAAAACATGTCCTTGTGCCTCTTCTTGTAAGTCATGTCCCTGGTTTGACAAACGGAGGATGCCCTCCATTTTGCTGAGCCATCGCTCCAGGCTCTTGACAATGCACACTTTCAGCTGGTGCCCAGAGCGCCTGCGGGGAGCTTGGGTGTATGCTTCTGCCGTGGGACGTCTCTTACAGCCCCTCCATCTTGTGTTCTGCAGGCATTACTTTGAAGAGCAATGGGAAAAATACCTGGCGGAGAGAGGCATATCAGATGGGGTCTCGCAGCCCACCTTCCCCCCTAAGTACGGCGTGGAAGAGAGAGACTCGTTCTACACCTCCCTGAGCTATGACGGCTGGGGAGGCAGCAGTGGGCACGACGCCCCCATGATCGCTTACGATGCGCTGCTGGGCGCGGGCGACTCCTGGGCAGAGCTGGCTCACCGGGCTTTCTTCCACGGGGGCGACAGTGACTCCACTGGCACCATTGCGGCCTGCTGGTGGGGGGCCATGCACGGCTTCCGGGGGGTCAACACCTCCCTCTATGCCCACCTGGAGTACAGGGACCGCCTGGAGCAGGTGGCCAAGGACTTGTACAGCATCGCCTAGGCAGGGGGGCGGCACTGCCTCCCAGGGGCGCGCTTACCCCGCCTGCCGCCCCTCGCTTGCTCGAGGTTTTGCAGACTTGGTTTGCAAGGCTGCTGGATCGAAGCAGGCGAACGTATGCCAGAGCCAGGCCTTCTTTTTCTGTTTGCGTGTGTTGGCTTCAGCGGGGAGGCCGTTTTGCAGCTAGCAGCTTGGGGCTTGTGGGCAGTGGGTGGGGGGGAGCAGATACAAGCACCTAACGTGCGTCTGTCCCTTGAGCAGCTGAGCCCCGAGACGTCCCTCCTCACCAGCATGGCTGCACATCACTTGGTGCTCAAGGGGAGCAGGAGCACCCACAGCAGCATTGCTGGCGATGCTCCAGCAGCAGGACAGGCAGCAAAATCCCCACAGGCCACCCCAAACCAGGGTCCTGCCCATGGAGCATGCCAGAGGGGGGGGTCACGGACGCACGCCTGGCCACAGGGAGTGCACGTGGGCTGGCAGAGATGCCTCCCAGCAAACCTGTGGGTGGCTAGCCCGTGCTTGCCGCCCCATACTGCTGATGGGGAGTGCCAGGGACACCACTTCCCATCTAGCACTGAGCTAAAACCTCAAAAAAAAAGCTAAAACCTCTGCTCCTTGGCAGAGGGGTTATAGCAGGTGTGACCCAAGGCAACCTACTGGGGCTGGGGGATGCATACTGTGTCCAGGGACAACAGAGTTTTCTCATACAATTATTTTAGCAGAGAACTTTTTTTTTTTTTTTTTTTGGTTTAAATGAATATGGGAAAAACCCAAACCCAACCCAACAGCTGCGTCGGCAGTGCATTTTGCACAATTTCACAGCATTTTTGCTGTAGAGTTAAGACTGTATAACTCTACTTCTCTAATTCAGTTAACGGGGGGGTTCAAGACTACTGACCAAACCCTTATTCAAGATACAAGTTGGTAAGGAGAAATAAAAGATTGCATTTTTTTTTTTTTATATATCAACTTAAGCAATTTCTGTAGTGAACTATATTCTTCTGCTGGCATCAAGGTTACTAAAGAATATTTGCTTAACATTTGCTATGGATAATTCTATTAAAAAATATGTTTTTTCTTTAAGTCCAGACTATGACACAGCAAAATACTTAATATTTTCAGAGTGATTTCAAAAATGGTGTATCCCATTCAATAAATAGAACTGACACACCTCTCTTAAATGTTGTATTCTATTATGGGTTGAATTAAGGGATGGGAGGGAGAAGTATGAAGAGCCTGAGGGTGCAAGGTGTCTGCAAGCTCCGGCCTGCAAGAGAGAGGAGACACGCTGCTGGGGCGGGAGGAGAGCTGCTGTATCAGGGAACGGGGTGGTGGGAGATGGAGAGGCTGCCTAAAAGGGGGAGTGGGCCCAGGAGCTCACCACTGCTTTGCATAGGGAGAGCGCATAAAGGCACAATGAAAGCTCAAATCTGAAAAAAACCAGCAGCAAGAGGATTCACAATTTCAACACAGTTTACTACAGTTCTCAGGTGTATTGTATAAAACATGTTTTAGTGCAACATAGTACAAAGTTTTTGTTTTTTTGTTTTGGTTTTTTGTTTTTTTTTTTTTTTAAAAATTCCCAAACATCTTTCCACATCATGCATGGATAGGGTATCTCTCTTTCTTCTCGGGTTCGTTACAGAAAGTTACAGCGGAGAGAGTGGTTTGAAAAGCTTTGTGTTAAAACTTGTTACAGGAAGAGTCTGCCTTATAAAAACAGAAGATTGAGACTGGGCAACACACTGCCAGAGCAATGGAGAAATGTCACCATCAAGGTACATTCAGGGATCACCGTGGGAGCTACTTCCCAGGAAAGCCTGGGCTCAGCACAGGAGCTGCCAGGCTGGGAAGGGACCCGTTTCGGCCAGGGGGACGGGGCCACAGGACAGCCCCCCAGGAGAGCCCCGTTCTGGGGCAGACAGGCTGGAGAGAAGGAATGTGGCTCGGACGCAGCACAGTGCTCTCCCGGGAAAGAACAGCTCCTGCCGACTGCATTTTCTCTTTTTTCCTTTAAAGCTGAAATGAGTTGCAGCTCCTGGCCGCGCACAGTATGTACAGGAGATACTACATTTACGAAACAATACCCACTGGCTGCAGCTGCTGCTGTTTGCGCCTTGGTTCTTCATTTCCATTCACTTCTCATCCCACTCCTCTCTTTGCAGACGCCTTATCCAGAAAGGGAAGACAAGTGTGTGGGTGTGCGATACATATATATAGAGGAGTGTGGTATTACGCGTATGCTGGGGTCAGTAAGCAGTTACGTCTCAAGGAGGCAGACTTTGTGGAGGGATGAGTGAAATTTGGGCTTCCCAGCAGAAGAGGAAACCAATGCCGTTCTGGTGGAGGAGCAGAGGCGGCTGACTTCGAACGCCCAAGCGTGGGACAGTCCATGGTCACGTGGGTCCTCTCCCACGGCCAGGAGAGAGGATACACAGTGCAGATTTCCCACGCGAGGCTTCATCACCTCTGAAACATCAAGGCATCAGGGTCTAACCGACTAGTGCTACAGAGCATCTGCTGAGGTCCCCTTCTCTTCACAAAGAGCAGTCCAACCCTCCTGAAGAGGACAACGGCTGTGGGTACGGCACCTCTCGCACACAAGGCGGGGAGGTTTGTGCCTGTCCGCCCTGGTTGGCTTCAGCCATGCTGCAAAAAAATAAATGGCTGGATTTGCCGGGAAGACATCAAGGAAGACAACAAAAGGCCATTTTTGGCAAACATTTTCTTCCGCCAGACATAACACTTCGGGCATATAGGGGAGGAGGCGGTTTCCTCCACAGGACAGGGCAGGGGTACTTGGCTTTAGAGGGTACGGGCGCTCAGGTGCCCCACGTGGCGAGAGCCCTGGTTTGGTTCGCAAGAGCCATATCTTTCACAGAAAGAACAGCATTTCTTGCCACAGCGACTGCCTACGACAAGAGCAGGTGACTTTGCCAGGAAGGGGAGCTTACGGAGAAACGGTTTCTCCTCCTAAAGCCCCAGAAACAAAAAAATGGCAGACGCACGCACACGCGCAGGGGAAGATATGTCTCGGCCCAAAGGGACAGGAAAGGCCCCGAGGTCCCGACATGGTGCAGGCTCTTTGCCTTGTCCAAGCTCATGCCGGGAAGTAGTACAAGCTGCAGGGAAACTTGTGCCTCGTGGTGATTAATGTGTCCCCACTGCATGGCATGGCTACAACTGGACTCCTCAGCTGAACCATCCAGGGGCTGTGAACCCAACCCACGGAGCTTCCCCTTTCCCCCTTGCTAGAGTCATTACTTTGGTCATGTTGAAGTCTTCAGAGACTGGATCCAGCCACCCATCCCCAAGCGACTGGGGCACAGAGGGGACCCACCTCATCAGAGGTGGCAGCATGGACACCAGGGAGGAGCATGACTCTGGTAAGCTGGACCGTACAATGACCCTCTTTGCTACCAACAAAGTCAGGGCTTTCGGGCGTCCTCCCTCTATCCCCCCTTCAGTTCCTGGAGACAAACTAAATTGCTTTTGTCCTGACCGCAAGCGCACTGAATATTCAGTCTCTCCGAGACCTGGGAACACTCCCAAAAGGTGAATTGCTCCCTCCTGAGAGAACAGTTAGATGGAGGCAAGAAGATGCTGAGGCTACAGTGAGTCTTTCAGATGGACCTCCCGATAGCCCAGCTAACACCTCCAGAGGTGTACCTGGCTTTGTCTGTTTTGGAAGAGGGAGGAGCTAGCTCAGCACACCTTGGGAAAAGACCTTCTTCACCATGGCACCGAGTCTGAAGCGGAGAACCAGTCTGTTTTGAAAAACATAATGTTTACTTCCAAAGAGATCGTCCCAGGATCCCAAACGACCCCTAGGAACTCCTCTCTGTGTGGAGGGCGGGGGAAGCCTACAGTTCTTTGAGAGACTGAAAAAGAAATGACAACAAAGAAGTAACAGCCCAAAAGACAGCAACTGATGGGAGCAAAATTAATCCGAGAGGAACATCCACTATGTACACAAAGCGCAGGGACCCTCCATCTGTCGGGGTGAAGGGGTGCGCTCCAACAGGCGCTGGAGGAAGCGTCAGACCTTCCTGTCCCCGCTGGCTGGGTGCTCTGCAGAACTCGGCCGCCACGTCGGAGCACAGATGCTGAAACTAATGAAACAAGAACAACAAAACCCACTCTGTTCCTTAGGGTTCCCGGTGTGTCTCTGCTTCTCTCTCTCTGCGCATCCCCTGGGGTGCCTCTGCCTCTTTAGTCTATGGTTCCTGGGTGGATGCTGAGGACTGGCGGCTCTAGGCAAGTGGGAGAGTAGTTGAGGTGAGGCTCTTTGATCCACAGCAAGGGGACCCCGTTCTTGCCCTCTGAGTTCTTGCTGGAGTTTCGGCTCTTGAACCGCACCAGGAGGATGGTGATGATCAAGATGCCGAAGATAGGGAAGGGGTAGAAGAACACGAAGTAGAAGAGGGCATCGTTGGAGCAGATGACAGACTGCAGGGTGGAGCCTGGAAAGAGACACAGGATGGTCACATTTCATGGCTTCTCTGCAATGCTGGGCCTACAAACTTCTTCAGAAACATAAAAAACCAGATGCTCATTAATCTGTGTCAATGCAGGAGGTGTGGCTCTGAGAAAAATACCAATACTGGAAAACAGAGCAGCAGCAGAAAGTTATCGCAGGGCATGTTTTGGCTTTATCCCCTGAAGAACTTCATGAGTGCTAGAGAGAGTCCTCCCTGGTGTAGCTTTTACGATATCTTATATAGCGGAGAGCCTTGCAAGCTGTTCATTCCCTCAGTGGTAGTGCACAGAGGCAGCACCCCAGCATATCTCCCCTAAGGGCTCACAAAACTCTTATGACCTCAACTATCTCTGGGGCCTCTAAACTATCTGAGGACTTCAAGAGTTCCTGGGAGAAGACCCTTGTGCCACAGCCTGCACCCTTGTGCAGAGCTAAGCCAACTTCTAGGGTGTTTCCCAGTGGGAAGTGTTAGACTCCAGTGGGGGGCAATGTCTGTCCCCACTGACTCGGGACACACCAGGTTGTAAGTGTTGGGTGGGGGACGGCAGCCCCAGCACAGAACTCAGTGGAGCATGGATGCTCAAGCCCAACCAAGAGCTGGGCTACGAGCCATCAAGCTAACTGGAAAAGCAGCGGCACCACAGACTTGCCCCAGTGCAGGTGAGTCCCAGTCCCACCAGCTCCTTGGCCTTTTTATCTTGGTTGAACCGAAGATGCAGGGGATGCCAGGGCCAGGCCCAGGCCCCCACAAGGGTCATCGCCTCTTCTCACCTGCATCCTGCACGTGAACGGCGACCGTCCCCGACTCCTCCTCCGCCAGCCGGTACCACACACCATTGGGGTCTGCCAGCCACTCCTCCACACGGCACGAGTAGTTGCCTGTGTCGGCGCCACCGGCCTGCAGCACTGTCAGACGGAAGAGCACCGCTGAGAGCCTCTGGAAGCGCAGGCGGCCCTCCCAGCGACCGGCCTCGGGGCTGAAGATGGCATCGAGGCCCACGCTCAGCACCGCTTCCCTCTCCTCCTCCTCCTCGTTGTCCTCCTCCGCGTGGCCGCCCGCCTCTTTGGCCCGCAGGTTGTACCACGTCACCGCAAAGTGGGACTCTGGGCTGGAGCGGGACAGGATGCTGCAGTCCAGCGGGAAGGACTCCTTCTCCTGCACCGTGAGGTTGGCAGTGGACGTGTCCACCTGCAAGGTGGGATCTAGGATGACAAAAAGGGAGAGGTGAGTGCTGAGCAAAACGCCATCAAAGCCATCATGCCCCAGCACAAACTGACTGTCACGACTCCGGTGCTGGGTGCGATCCAAGCAAATCCCAAAGGCTTGACGCAGCCTGCCAAGTCCCATGGGTATCTCTGTGGTCAGGCTGTGTAGGCACAGCATCCTCACCTCACCACACACCCTCGGGCACAGGGTGAAACAGGAGCTGGCTGCGAGTGCCGTGCTATCTCCCTGTCCATGCAGACCCTCGCACCAACTAAGGGGCACGTGTGCGAGAGGAGAAAGCTGCTGCAGCTCATCCAGACGCGCTACAAGAACATGTCAGGAAATACCAAGGCTTGCTGCACGTGCTGAGGAGCAATGTACTACTGCTCCTCAGCTACCGGTGCAAAGAGCATTGCACAGCATGCTTATTTTTTATAACTTTGAGAGCGTTCAAAGGACTTGAAAATCAGTATGACAGAAGATGAGAGAATATTTTCCAGCAATTTGGGAAGTTATTTAGGTAAGAGGTTCCTCCATGGAGATGTCCTCAGCACAGACACAGCAACGACACTTCCAAAAGACTCCCTCTCTCATTTTTTTTCTCTAGCACTTGCTGCAAGGCTAAAGAGATGTTTTTACCTAACTGAGATACAGCAGCCAGAACCCAAGATGAATTGATTAAAGGCTGACTTCAAGAGCAATTAACATTTGGTTTAGTCATCTTGCCAGGGAACACATACTCCAGGGATCGCAATCAGTCTGGATCTAACCTATCATTTAAAGATTAAAAAGCCCTTTCTGACGTGCGAGCTGAGCAGGAAGGGCAAGCCGATAGCTCACCGAAGAGAGAGGCGCTTTCTCCTCCAGCAAATTTAGCAGGGCAAGCCCTCCCTCGCGCAGAGCCCTGGTGTCCCTGCAGGAGGGGGCTGCTGTCCCCCAGCTCTCATCAGCTGCTGGGCTGCTGTGCCCAGCGGGGCTTCTCATTATAGCACCTGCCCTACACTTCTTAAATGGTCCCATAAGGAAAAAATCTTCATTAAGGCCAGAGCTCTTCAGGCCGTCAGCAACACGAGTGTTTTCAGTTCACATCTTCCTCAGGAAGACTCCTGAGCAGAAACAGGAATGAACTAAGTCCTGAGGTTTCGGGGACTACTGAGGTAAAAAGGAGGAAGGGAAGGAAACGGTTTGTCAAAACCAACACAAAGCTCCCCCCCACCTCAGCAGGTTCAGTAGAAAGAGAACTGCTGTCTGAAGGTGCTGTGAGGTTTCTTCCCTCTTTTGCTCATGATTATAGTCCTGAAAGATGAGCATGGAGATCCTCACTAATGAGACATGAGTCACAAGCAAGTTTAGTCATTTTGTTAAGTACTGGCTGCTATGAAAGAAAAACAAACAACAACAAAGCACTTTTAGAAAAAAATTATCTTGAATTAGTGCATCCCCAACTTGCTCTCTTCTTCCCACTCCACATCCTTCCGCAATTTGAAATGAGCCTCGAGGATTTCCCCTGCTGTTCCTTCCCCACTCCGTCAGGGCTGGCAATTCTCAGCCAGCTCCGTTGCAGAGTTACGAGGCTAACACCTGGCTGGAATGGGCAGCACAAAGCACCACAGCGGCACTTGCAGAGCGCTTGCTTTACATGCTGGAAAGTACCCAGCAAATGAGGACCATAACTGTTCCTGCTGTGTTCCTAAGTGTGGGAATGGCAACTTTCCATTTGTGGATACTGAAATTGTAAGGGACCTGCTGCACCAGCTGAATGTTCACAAGTCCGTGGGGCCTGATGGGATTCACCCCAGCGTTCTGAAGGAGCTAGCCAATGTTATGGCAGGACCCCTCTTGATCATCTACCAAAGGTTTGGGGAGCCTGGGGAGGTCGCCGCTGACTGGCAGCCTGTCTAACATTGACCAATCTACAAAAAGGGTGCAAGGGAAGACCCAGGGAACTACAGACCTGTTAGTCTAACCTCAGTTCCTGGAAAAATTATGGAGAAGATTACACTGGGTGCTATTGAAAGTCATTTAAAGAATAATGCAATCATCAGGCAGAGTCAACATGGGTTTGCAAAGGGAAAGTCTTGTTTAACTAATTTGATATCCTTCTATGATAGCGTCACCTGCCTAGCGGGTGAAGGGAAGGCGGTAGATGTAGTTTTTCTGGATTTTAATAAGGCTTTTGATACTGTCCCTCACAGCCTCCTTCTGGGTAAGTTGTCCAACTGGGAGACAAGCAGGTTCATGGTGTGCTGGGTGGAGAACTGGTTGAAGGGTAGAGCTCAAAGGGTTGTAGTGAATGGGGCTACATCTGGCTGGTGACTGGTCACCAGCAATGTTCCTCAGGGCTCAATTCTAGTGCTAGTCCTGTTCAATACATTTATCAACAATCAGGATGCAGGAGTTGAATGCACCATCCACAAACTTGCTGATGATACCAAACTGGGAGGTGCTGTTGCTTCTCTTGAGGGACAAGAGGCTTTGCAGAGGGATCTATATAGACTGGAGCATTAGGATGACATTTAACAAGTCCAAATGCTGGATTCTGCACCTAGGATGGAGTAACACTGGACACAAGTACAAATTGGGAGAGGAGTGGCCGGAGAGCAGCCCTGCAGAAAGAGGTCTGTGGGTGCTGGTTGACAGCAGGCTCAGTAGGAGTCAGCAGTGTGCCCTGGCAGCCAAGAGGGCAAACCGCGCTCTGGGGGGCATCAAACACAGCGTAACCAGCTGGTCAGAAGACGGGATTATCCTGCTGTATTCAGCATTGGTGCAGCCTCACCTTGAATACTTTGTGCAGTTCTGGGCCCCACAATTTAAGAAGGATGCGAAGGTCCTTGAATGTATCCAGAGGAGAGCAACAAAACTGGTGAAAGGGCTAGAAGGCATGTCCTGTGAAGAGCGGCTAAGGACTTTGGGCTTGTCTAGTTTGGAGAGGAGGGTGACATGCGACCTCACTGTGCTCTGCAGCTTCCTGAGGAGGGGAAGTGGAGGGGGAGGTGCTGAGCTCTTCTCCCCAGGATTCAGTGACAGGGCACGTGGGAATGGTTCAGTGACAGGGCACCAGGGGAGGTTCAGACTGGACATCGGGAAGCGTTTCTTCATTGAGAGGGTGGTCAAACCCTGGAACAGACCTCCTACAGAGGTGGTCAATGCCCCAAGCCTGTCAGTGTTTGAGGCATTTGGACAATGCCCTTAATAATGTGCTTTAACTTTTGGTCAGCCCCGAATTGGTCAGGCAGTTGGACTAGATGATCCTTGTAGGCCCCTTCCAACTGAAATTATTCTATTCTAGTCTAGTTTAGTCTAGTCTATTCCCATTCCATCCCATCCCCAACCCTTTCAAACTGGAGTTTGCTCCCTGGTTTGAACTTCTGTAGGACTTTTTTCCCCACTACATCCTGGAAAGAATGAGAAACACCTGCAGCGATTCCTGATGCCTGCCTCCCTGTGTCTCGGCACGGCCAAAATGGTGGTGTTAGGCAGCTGGATCCACCTGAACTACTGTCACTGGCAAGAGGGTGGCCAGGAAGCTTCTACGAACCAACTTGTCCATACAGAGGCAGGCTCGTCATAGCCAACTCCTGCCCCATCAAGAAGCCCTCATCCCAACCAACAGATGAACCCCTGGAGCTGCACACCCTGCATCTGCTTCTTCACCTGCAGAACAGGGAGCAGCAGCATAAGAAACTGCCTGGACACCAGCAAGGGTCTCGACCTCCTCTGCTGCTCTCTTTTCATGCAAGGACCCTGCCCCTGGGGCACACGCCTGGGAAGCACAGATAGCCTCTCCCATCTCATTCTCAGTCAAAATGTGAACAAAATCGGAAGCCTATCCTATCGAATCTGTAAAAAAAAAGCTGTAAAAAAATAAATTTGCAGATGCGGTAGTGACAAAATCCCAAGCCCATCTAGCTGTGTTTGCAGGGCTTGCTTCATGCTCTTTCCAGAAAAGCAAGGGTGCACCCAAGAAGACAGGCACAAAAGCATCAGCATGGTCTCTAGCACAGCAGTCCTGCTCTCTGGCTGGACCTGCTGTCAATAACAGACAGATGGTGATGTGGTTGGTCCAAGAGGGCAGAGCGTTGCTCAAAGCTGTTGGCACAAGATCCTCCCTCACCTGGCTGCTTGACGGTGAGGGTGATGAGTCCAGAGAGGTCCTCTGCCCGCTTGTACCAGCGGTCGCTGGGGTCGAGGAGCCACTCTTCCACACGGCAGTCATAGGCCCCACTGTCCCGCACAGTGGCATTTTGGATGGAGAGAAGGTAGAGACCCGGGGACGGGCTCTCTAGGTGCAGCCGGCTTCGCAGGTCGCCCAGTGCCACCAGGTCACCATAGCGCAGGGTGTTCTGCCGGCTCAGCTGGGCCACCGCCTCCTTCTCCGGGTGGCCTGGCCGCCAGACGTACCACTCCACTGAGAGCTGGGACGAGGGGCTGGTCCGGCTGTTGACCAGGCACTCCAGGGTCACCCACTGGTTCTCCAGCACCGTGATGTTCTTCTGAGTCTGGTTCACCTGCAGGCGGTTATCTATGGGGAAAGACCATTAGAAATACAAGGTGACTGAGGGCTGCACGCTTCCTTTGTCTCCCCACAAGCCCTTCCTGCATGGCCACAGTCCTGGGGTGTGATGAAAGAAATGAGGAAGGGGAGGAAAAAAAAGATGGGGGAAAAAAGAACAGGAGGAAAAGAACATAGGACTTGTGGTTTTTAGGGTCTTCTGACCAGTAAACCCTCCAGCAGTGCGAAAAGGGAAAAAAATCAAGGTGGAGAATGGACAGCTGATTATAGGGAACCACCACTGCAAAACAAGAAGTGGCATGAGGGGCAGAGTCACACAGTGTTTTGCTGCCTTGGGAATGTCCCTGGTTTGTGCTCCACAATTTCATTAATACATGGGGGGGAGACTGCAGGCAGCTCTTTTATGTGAAATGACGTGTCGTACACTCCTAATTCCTTCACAACTTCTTTCCAGTGGCACAGTTTGGACTTCCCTGGTACAGTTGCTGCAGCAAGCGATGGGCACTGTACTTCCCAGAGAGATGTGGGCAATGCAACGGAGCGGGCAGATCACAGCTCCCCACTCCCTGACCACCCCACAGCCATGTTGGGACTTTGGAGACAGAAACGAGGAGCTGGGACTGGCAGCGAGTGGCACGCTCTGGCCTGCTGCACTCCCTGTGTGACCAGGCAAAGCTGTGCTGGGGACCATACACAATATCCCTGTTGCACCCCTGTCTGCAAAGCCTGTGTCTGGCCAGCCAAATCCAGACAGAGAAAATGCATTAAGCATCCTAGTACAGCCCGGCTAGCCAGGTGTGTCCCTCCTGCCTGAGGGACTTTATCCTCCAGAAACGGGCAGGTGGAGCAAGCAAGGCAGGCTTTCTTGTAAAGTACTGATGCTCTGCCTCAGCAGCACATATGGGCTCCAGGCTGCTCTCAAAAACAGCGCTTGCCTCCCTGCATCCTCCCTTTGCATGAAATGAGGGTTCTGTCCCCAGATCAGGGGGCCATCTTTAGCTCCTCCATCAGCTCATCTTTACCAGTGATGTCTGCTGCCACGGAAACAACCAGCAGAGCAGATTTCTCCTTTCCTGGCAGCCATCTCCCCACCTCATTAAACTTGTTACTCGTATCTCATGTGCACAGCGCAGAGGGAAAAGTGACAAGGCTCACTGCGCCAGCCAGGATACAGGCACAGAGTAAAATTAAACTGTGTGCAAAACATAAAAGTGCTTTCCCAGGCAGGCACACACTGTTTCTCTCTCAGTAGGTCACTAGTCGACACTCTTGCTACATGATGCTCTTGAGGATAAAGAAACCTGGCAGGATATCTAGTGGCCTTCTAGATAGCTGGGGAAGGACAACCATCATGTGGGGATACTGAAATGCACATCAACCCAGCCTAAATGGAGGAGGGTCACACTGAAGGGGGAAAAAGTCCCTCTGTGTAGGGATATGCAGACATGAGGATGCAAGGTGAGGGTGGCAAGGCTGCAGTAGAAAGAAGAGCAGGGTATCCCTGTTGTCCCAGGAAAACTCAGCGAGCTCACGAGCCATGCACGAGAGCCAACACCAAGAGGACCCCACTGGCATGTTGCATGGTACCTGGCTGCTTGACGGTGACCTCTGTCCGTCCCGACACCTCCTCCGCCAGCTTGTACCAGGCGTGGTTGGGGCTGAGCAGCCACTCCTCCACGTGGCAGTAGTAGCTGCCGCTGTCTCGGACCTCTGCCCGCTGGACCGTCAGGCTGAAGAGCCCCCCTGATGCCGAGCGCTCAAATTGCAGCCGGCCCCGCAGCCCCTCCTCCTCCGCGTAGGTGCCGTACTCGAAGGCTGAACTGTGGGTGGTCTTCAGGATGAGCTTGCCGTCGGCGTCGGAGGGCTTGTGGACATACCACAGCACAGCGAAGTGCGAGTCAGGGCTTGTCTGGGATTTCACTGAGCAGTTGAGGGGGATAGGGCGGTTCTCCACCAGAGTGATGCTCCGCTTCGACTTGCTCACCTGCAGCTTGGTCACTGCAAGGGAGGAACAGAGAAGGATGAGGAGAGGTGGGTCATTAACACAGAAAAGAAACTCACCTGGTTTGGGGAGGACCAGAGAGTCCTCCCAACTGCATGCATAGCTGATCTTGCCTGGGTCCCACTTGCACTGGACCTTTAAGACAAAGGTATTTAGATGTTCTCCTACCAAATCTTCTCTTTTCTTTCACCTCCCGCTCTACTCCTGGATCGTCCCACCATGTCCCTCAGCAAGAGGCTGCTTTTTCACAGTTTGTCTTTTAAAAGATTCCCTTTCTTAATTCACCATGGTCTAGGGCACCAAAGCTAGCAAGAAGACTACACCCAAATTCAGTGGGTTTTTTCATGGTGAAATCATACCACTTGCGCCTCGGGGCAATGAGCTCTTGACCAGTTCCAGAGAAAACCATTTCCAGGAAGAGTGAATTAAACGAGGCTCTACTGCTGTCACATGCCAGCCATGTCAGTGACACGTAACCCACAGACACGCAATAGCTAGGGGAGCAAACAGGGGCACAACTGGAAAAGAAAAAGAGCATCAGAGTGGAAAGGATCAGCAGGGAGGCAAGCTCTGCTCCAGCAGCTAGGAGCTCTGGCTCCAGGTCCACCATGGACTGCATAGCCCGGACAAGGCACAGGCACATCACCTCCCTCAGCTTCCCAAGCGTGACTGCAGTTCCTACACGGGTGGCTAAGTGGTCACACAGTGTTGAGGATGACACGACAGTGTCGTTAGCTCTTGTCCCTGCAGGGAGAGAGGCACAACGGTTTCCGATTCCTCTCTCCCTGCAGGAGCAGGAGATAAATCTTGCCCGAGCCTTGACCCAGGGCATTGCCATCTGCAGGGGAGGACATGAAGCGCCCTCCTGTGACACTTGTGCTTGGGGTGCCCTGGAGCCCTGCCAGCTACAGACCTGAGGAGAGGACTAGCTCCCAGCCAGAAACACCGCTCCTCCTAGCAGCTCTGCCACCACCTCCTCCTAGCAGCTCTGCCACCACCTCCCCTCCTTTGCCTCTCCTGCATGACCAGCAACTCCTCTCCAACACGAGGACGCAGGATGCCCAGATCTGACAGCCCAAAGGGATGAGCCCTAGGCTGAGTGTGAAGCACAATACATTATCCAGGACATCGAAGCACAGTCAGGAAAACAGGGGGGAAGGTTCCCAGGAATGGAGGCAGTGTGCGAGGGGGTCTGGCAGGCAGCAGGTTCCCCCCCAGCACCCCTCCATGCAGAGCCCCTTCCCAGTGCACCCTGTGATGACGAGCACCGCTGCTCCGGCATGGCTTATAAAGGGTATCCTGACAAACGATGGGTCTTCAACGGCCGAGAGGCAGAAGGTGGGTACCCCAGTCCTGCTCCAGCCCAGCCATTCCCAACCTCTCCCGCTGCCTCATGTGGCAGCTCCCCTCTGAAAGGGGGGCATGCTGTCTTGCTGCTGGGTGAAGGGATTCTGCTGACAACTGGTACATCTCTTAACAAAACCTAGCGAGAACCCTGGGCACGAGTGGCATGACAGAAGCGTGGCACCACAGGCACGAACAACTGAAGGCTGCCAGGGGAGCTGTGCCCATCCACACCCTGGAAACCCGTCCCACGCATCCTGCGTTTGCAAGGAAGCAACGTTGTCTCCTCTCTCTCATCAAGGCATGGGCTCCTCGCTTTGCTTCCAGCTTCCCTTGGGCCCCAGGGTCTCGGATGCCTGTCGGCACAACCGATGAGTGACAGGGCTGAGGGAGAGGACCACAGGCAAACAACATCAAATGGGAGGGAGGAACCCCCACCACAGCAAGGCTTTCTGCTCTAACACAGCATCAGAGATAGGCATCCCCTGGAGTCTGGATTGCCCCTCGCTTTAATCAGTATGCTAATAAGGACTCGATGGCTGTGTTAAGGGTATGGCATGCAGACAGTGGAGGGAGGAAAGGAGGGAAATAGTCCCTTGTTTTTCCTCCCTGGGGACTTCAGGGAGAGAACCTAATGGAGAGATTTAGCATCATCCCGCTGTATTTCTGCTGTACCCCAGACATGCTCTTTGTTTCACTTCAGGACAGCAGCCTTAGCCACCCCACCCACACTCGTCCCACCTTTTTGGCTCAGTGTTGGTTAAGAAAGGTTATTTCAAGCATTAATCAATCTTCCAAGTCCCTGGGAGATGAAGCAATAAAGGGGAAGGTGATTCTCAGCAGTTTCCTTTCTCCCCCAGCCCCCTTTCCAAACAGTTTATTTTTAATTGGTACTGGATTATTTTCTGCAACCGTTACTAAGGAAACCTCTGTTACTATAGCAACCGTGTATGTTAAGTCAGTAGCCCTATATCTATTAAAATGCAGTATATAGACATGCTGCGTGTGGCAGGGTTGCTCAATATCAACACACACACAGAGGGAGCCAAGGTATGCACAGACCGGAGCTCCTGAGACCCAAACGTCTCTCCCAGTCATTTTCCCACAGCACGGCACCTCCAGGAGCTGGAAATGAGGAGGACGGGCATGGAGTAATTTTAAGCCTGGTGTTCGGGGCAGCAGACCCACACCTTGTACGTGACAGATGTATTTCAATGAAGCAGTGAGGGCTCGCTCTCGGACCATAATCACTGCAATTCTCATTGTGTACAAACAGCAGGGACCCTTGAGGTCATCCAAGAGCCCTCGGACGACCTCCATGCAGCTCCCCCTGCTTTCATTCGACACTTAGGAAGACATCTTCTTTTGTGGGGGTGGGGGGTGATGGGGAAGAAATCTTACTATCTCTGGCAGAAATGAGATCTCAAATTCCACCCAGGCAACCCAGCCCTCCAAGCCCTGCCTGGCAGCTACTGCAGCCAGCGGTCAGGCATTTGCCCATGCATACACAGAATCCCCCAAATCTTGATGAGGTGATTGCTTCTGCTGCTGCTACCAGTTGGAGCAGCCGGCCCTGACAGGGAATTGCAGGTCTTCCCTTTGCTAGACTGCATGCACTTCCACAGGTTCTTAACACGGTGCGCAAAGTTTCATCTAGATTAGAGGTATCAGTGATATATAATGACACCCCTGCCAATGCACTTCTCATCTAACATGACTTATTTTCCTAACTGAGGCACACCATGAAAGATGCAAGTGCAGGTTTTGCTTCCCTCCCACAGAATTAGAGAGGACATACTTAGTCTTTTCCCATCTGTGAACACCAAATGCTTCCCCGTCCAGGCACTGGCTCCGGCATAGTAAATGTGCACCTTCCTCTTCATTACCTTTTGCAGATCCTATGGAAATAATTCACAGCTTTTACAGACCACAGGCTGAAAACTGCTGAGGTGGAAACACCGTGGCACACAGGTTACCTTGGGGCAGCTTCACCTTCGGGCTGCAGGCTGGTTTGCTTGCTTATGCAGGGCAGAGATCCTCTGTCCGCACTCTGGTGAAGACACGGGAAACTTTGTGGGGCTGCTCCCACTTCTGCTCTCCCACAGGAGTGGAAGAGGGGGGACCATCAGCCACCATTCACAGATAGGCAAACTAATCCAAAAGGCTCATTTTGCATTTGGGAAAAACAATTTAAAAGGGGGAAAAAACCCCAAATCAACAAATGCTGAAGTCAGTGGTCCAGGGTGATGGTGATGGCAATGGTACAATACACTGCCAGGGAGTCTATCTCTTTCCATCCTGGTGGTTAGTCTACTCCAGTGCAAAGCAGGTCTCACTATGCCCCGTGCAGCTTGCCAGGTCATGTCTAAAGATGCCTGCATGACACGGAAATGATCATAGCTGCTGGTGCATGAGTGAGACTGCAAGAAGACTGACACCCCAGGCACTGAGCCAGCCAAACCGCACCCTCCTGACATGGGTGAAACTCCCTTTGCTGGCTTGGGGATTTGCCTGGGCAGAGAGCCAGGAAAGGGCTCGGCCTTCAAATTGCTGGGTTGATCCAGTCTGCCCCAGGGGCTGGGTTTCGGTGTGCCATGGCAGGATTGCTCCAGTGCTCCGTCAAGCAGCGGAGGCGGTGGGAGCAGTGATGAAAATGGGCACGGTTACATGGCATTTTCTGCTGCGCTGTCAAGAGGCTGATGTTCTCTTAACAGCCTCCTGAACATCTGCTTAGTGAGGGAAACAGGTGCGTGTGTCTAGGTGAAGTTATCGTGCATATCATCTGCAAACCATAATCGTGTTGCCACAATGTCTCCTGGCTCCCTGGAGGGTGCCAATAAAGAGGATATCATACCTTGATGTACTGTAATTGGTCCTACGTACGCTATTAAGGCTTTCAATTTACACTGGCAACAAGTCATGGTTACAACCCTCATTTTATTTTTAAGCCAGCCTGGTCTCCTAGCCCCTGTGAAGAATGCGTGCAGGCACAGTGGTGCTCAGGCAGGGGCCCCACAGGCAGTGGTGGGACAGAAGACATCAGCTCTCCGATGGCACAGAGAGAGGCTCTCCCGCACCACTGAGGGCATCCCGACACATTTGCTGGAGGAGCTCCAGGAGGTTCAATAGGTGATGACTTACGCTGGAGCCTGGCCAGGACACGGGGGACGTTATGTGCCTCTTAGGGTGGAGAAGCTGGTAAAGACGCCAGGCGTCCACAGCAAGCCCCTATGCTTGCTAGATACCTCACTTTACAGACCGTCCTCCAGCATCACAGTCCCTTCGCACTACTTCCCAAGCTGAGGAAAACGTCCTCACTCATTTGCAAGGACACACATTGTTTCAGGATACCTGCGGCAGCCTCTAGTCCTCAAAGCTTGCACCTCTGGGCTGGGGGGGACAGGTCTGACACACCTTACAACCACAGCAGGCTATGACATGGCTAGGTGTTCTACATGCAGATATATACAGTAGGGCTTTTCCACACACAGTCAAGCAGGTAATCAGTCTCCCCAAGCTGGGCATTTGATAAGCACAGTTATACAAATATTTGGGGGAAGGGAAAGCAATCATCATCAGAGGAGGAGGACAGAAGCAGTGATGTGATTCACAGCTTTTCTGCTGACTCGCTGGTGTGGTGAAGCCACTTGGT